TTATTGGTAGATTTTTCTCAGCACAGACAAGGTCACAAGTTCTCATTTTCATATCCACTTCTTCCCACAAAGACATCCTGAAGAGAAACAAGCATGCACTGGCTACACTAGGAGGGTTGTTCAGTTCTTTGCGGATTTAGAATTGCAGCATTTGTGTAAATGTGCACTGTGTTCACATTCAACATGAAAGCCCCAGAGGAAAAACTATGCAGTGTATCTCTGCCAGGAATTTTTAAAAAAAGTGTAACTTTCTCAGCTTGGTATCTCATAGAAGGATTTAGTCATTCTGGTTTTCTGAAAGAAATGCAGAGGGTAACGAGGGAAACTGGGTTTCCAGTTTTKGGTTGGCAAGCCAATTGCCTCTGAGAGGACTGCAGGATCTGCCCAAAGCTTTTGTGGGGGCGCTGGGGAAGAGGGAGATGGTGCTCATTAGGGAAGGATAATTAAGATTTGGAACCTAATGAGTCTGCCTATTTACTGGAAAGTGGCTTGGAGAAGAAATATGCCTTGTTCATGTAATATTATTTTCTTGTATTAAACTCACTTGACTCTAACCTTAAACTAATTTTGACTGGTTGGTTAGTTCTGAAATTCACTTTTCCTAATGTCGTACACCCTTCTCTTTTTTAATATTAATGTTAAAATTTTCTTTGTTATGAGATAGAAGGACAATTTGAGCAGATGCAAATCCACTAAATGCCTATAGAAAAAAAAGTCACAAGCTTTATGGAAAAGCTTTCAGACGGAAGGAAACTAACTAATCAATAAATGACAGCTTCATTACTCTGAAATGGCTACAAAGACTGCCTCTTTCATTTGCACCATTGCAAAATTTCCTTGCTCGAGTCACCTCTTGCAGAACAGACCAGTCCAGGACTCCCTTTTATCGTTCCCAAATTATAATTGTAGCATGTACTCTGCCATGGTGATGTCCATGCCAGCATTTTCCTAATGGACCGGTTATTCTAAATGTTGGTAATTTGGCCATTACAATTTGCCCCTCTTTGGAGTGTGCACGAACAACAATGTGCACCCTGCCCTGAATGAGGAGGATCAGATGCATGGAGCCAACA